AAGCATCTATCATTTTTATCACCAAAGAATCTTCATCACCACTTTGAAGCATGTCCTTTATCATTTGTTTTTCCTGCACAGAATATGCCCTTTCATAAATTAGATTTTGCTAATTCCCAACTTTGTGAACTCTTCATATTTTTCTATCTTTATGACATACATTAGTTTTAAGAAAAGACTTAGATCAAGAGATAAATTCCCCCAAAAAGTTTCCACGGTAAATGATGTACTCATACCTTCACCCCTCCCCCCAATTTGGATAAGTGCTACTATTCTGTATGCCCATTGCATTCTGTGCATAGTTCCTTCATTACACATGATTTCCTATTGATATATTCTCTCTATTGCTAGACAATATACGACTCATAATCAAGAATCAAGACATTAATGTTCATACGCTTAGGTACAAACATAGTACCTGCCAGTGAAAGGTAAGCAATAGATTTTTTCCCTTATTATTTTAAAAATTATGTCACTTGATATAACGCAGGATTGTGAAAATATTCAAAGAGTATCTTTTTGAGACTGAAAAATACAAGTTAGTATCTAGAGCAAAAGAGCAGAAAATACTTTTAGAACTCAGTTTTCAGGTGCCCCCTAACCTTCTAATCCATTGTCTGTCTTTTAGAATCACACTAAGCTGGGCACCCATATTACATTAATGTTCACCTACCTGTATACTTCTAAAAGCACAGGACCGTGATGATAACTTAGGTCAGGAACACAGTTATATGTTTGTTAATACCAATAAAAATTTGCTATTGTCAGTGCTCCTGGGAGTGTAGAGCTTTTTAATCTAATCTCCCACCAACCTATTCCTGTTTGGTATGATCCAGCTACACCATCTTTGGTTCTTGACATAATCACTCAATTTCCAATCTCAGGGTCTCACACATGGTGTTAACTCTGCTTGGTGGATTTTCACATCTCTTTATATGGCTAAGTTTATTTCATCTTTCCATGTTTGGATAAAATATCCCCTCCTGAATGAGATCTTCCCCTACTCTTCCCTTTGGCACACACATGTTCCTCTTTTTATCCATGACTGAGTCAACGCCTTGCATATATATATTTTTACTTATGTCTGATAAGTTATGACCTCACCTACTGTAATGAAAGGTCATAGGGATAAAAACCAGGACCCTTTGTTGACAACATTCATATATCTAATTTCTAAAATAGTGTTTGGTACACGCATTTTTTTTAATGTTTATTTACTTTGAGGGAGACAGCACATGAGCATGTGCATGCACAAGTGGGGCAGGGGCAGAGAGAGAAGGCGAGAGAGAGAATCCCAAGAAGGCTCTGAGGTGGGGGCTCCATCTCACAACTGTGAGATCACGACCTGCGCCAAAATCAAAAGTTGGCTGCTTAACCAACTGAGCCACCCAGGCGCCACACGGTGTGTTTTCAATAAATATTGTCAGATAAATAAATTTATTATTTCACTTGAACAGATCCTCATATAACACATCAAAGTTTCCTAACTGCAGCACTGTTGGCATTTGGGGCCAAATTATTCTCTGTCATATGAATTGTAAGGATGTTCAGATCATTCCTATCTTCTACCCAATAGATGCTGGTAGAAGCCACCAGCTGAGACAAGCAAAAATGTCTCAAAACATTGCCAAATGTTCTCTGGGGTGGCAAAATTGTCCCTAATGGGGAATGACTGTTATAGATCCACACAATAAAATAAGCTAAACAATGAAGCAGGACATCTGAGTTTTCATCTTTCACTGTCCCTTCCAAATGACTGAGAGTTTTATCTTTCACAGATGGACCATATTGGGAAATACGGAATTTGGATCAGCCCATCTGCAATGCAAGTTTAAGTTCTGAGGCCACTTTTATAATATTGACTAATAATAGTAATAGAGCAGCACTTGAACAAATCAACATTACTGAACCCATAAATACGCTAGTGCCAGCCACTGGGTCAAGTGTTTCATAGGTGGTGAATTATTTAGTCTTACACTCTACCATGGAGTATGCACTGCTATCCAAGTTTATTCATTGTCACTGAAAAACAGAAGGGTTGGTTTAACTGACCAACATGAAAAAGCTACTAAGTGAGGAAGACAGCACTGGACTCATGCAGAATCACTCCATGCAGTGATCGAGTGGAAATGTGGTTAGTCTGAATTGAGACTTGATGCAACTGGAAAATACATTATCTAAGTGGGTATTCCAAAGAATTATGGTAACAAAGAATATAAAATACTTGAATTAAGTTTTATATTGACATATCTAAAGGACACTATTAGGCTAAAGAAAATATATGGTTAAAATATATTCTCCTGTTTCTTTTAACTTTTTTTAGATGGCTGATAAAAATTATGATTACGTACGTGGCGCAAAATTTTGGTTTGCATTATATTTCAATTAGGCAGCATTGGCTTGTTGTCTTTATCATTGCCACTCTGAATCTCCTTTACTTTTTCCATGCATTGAGTATAATAATACTAACAAGGGATCTACATAGGTTAGTTCTGAGTTCTCAATGCTATGCCACATATGAAAGACTTCATAAACTGTGGAACTGTCTCCAAATCTTAGCTATTTAATGAAATGATATTGGAAATTAAAAACTAGTTTTCTGGATATTAGATGACTGAGGTTATCAAGTGGTATTCTAATTGCCATGGCTGAATGTTCCCAATAGTAAGATATGGTTGCAAATATTCATTGCAGAAAATATAATTGAGAAAATAAAAATCCACAAATTATGTTTCTAGCTATAGTTAAAAAATAATGAGGCAAGGTACAAGGTGCTCTACAATTCCTCTAAATGTGTTGTGCTATACATCTGGATTTGGACATGGATTTCAACCCTACTCTGCATTACTTGGAGTTTCGTCTTAACATCTAGAACTTTTGTTTTCTCATTTGTAAAATGGGGATCATAATATTGACCTAAATGAGTTATTGTGATCAAATAACAGTAGGCCAATCAATAACTTGGTACAGTGTCCAAAAAACATGTTATTCAGAAAATGTGTTATGTTGCTGCTTCTTTTTATTATCAATATTTCATCATCATCATCATCATCATCACTACTATTATAATTATATCAGGGCTTGTGTAATGTATCTGTCAGATGCCAATCATAAATTCTGATCAACAAAAGCAAAGGAAAAAATTATCAAATGAATTAATAAAGGTATCATAGTAGATGAAAAAATAATAAAATGAATTTTCATTGGACATTATTATCTTTCAAATATCTGATTTTTGTGCTTAATTAGAATCTATTAATTTCCTTTATTGGATTATCATTTTTAAATGAACTGCATTTTTGACATGTGTATATATGTTCCTGAGCATTTAAAATATAATGGTCCTCTTAGTGGTCATTTATTTTTGACTTAAAAAATACTTTTTTAAAGGAATATTTTTGCCTCTTGTGGATAATGTGATTAATTAGTTATGGTTTATTCTACTGGATTTGCATGTTAATTCTCCTGGTAACAAGTTCAGGTTAAGAGGTGGTCAGAAATATATACAAAACGTGAAATTTTAATTTTAATGCCACTAAGCATGTCTTCAGATTTGTTTGAGAAGAAATAACAGGGATTATTATTTTCCTTTCTCCTGCTGATGCTACAGGTAATTGGAGCTGTAGTCTGACTGTTTGAAAAGAGCATAAAGAAATACCCTTTTCTCTGTTTGGAGCCAAACACCACAATGGCAGACCTAATGGGGACATTCCTTAATATTTAGCAAAAGAATCATCATGAATAATAAACAAGTGATTACTGTGCTCAAAAAATATTCTATGTGAATGTTACAATTTTTCTACACACAAGATTTTAGACAAATCAATTCAAATAATACACTATTTTTACTCATCAAAGTTAGATAAAAATAACATGGAAAAGAGGTAAATTTCTTTGAAACAGTCAAAATAATGCAACAAATTCTTAGACCATGATTCCTTCTGCATTATAGTCTTTAGTGTAAAAATATAAATATCACAAAAAACTACATTTTAATAATTTCTCCCAAAAGTATGTAAGCCAAAAATCAAACTAGAATTGGGAGATCAAGTTAGAAGTGAACACACAAAAAATGCTAAAAAATTATGACAAAGATACTACAACCTGCATTTTATGCCACATTTCTAACAACATAAAATTCCATCTTAAAGTACAGATTTTTCCAATGAGCAGGAAATTGTCTGATACTTGGGGTGCCCATTCAGATCTAACATCACCCACTCTAATTGCATGTCTATACAAATTTGTATAAAAAAGGGATTCATGTGTATAACACATGAATAAATACATGTGTTATATGTCCAGAAGCTAACGGTTCTTAACCCATTCTTGATCTATTGTGAGAACTTGAAGAGTTCATTTTATAACAAAAATAGATCCAAATACATGACATTATCACTAAATAGATTTAGTGTTTTATAAGTAAATAGGTCAGGGATACAAAATGTTTTAGAATGATTACCATTCCAAACACAGAGAGAGTAACTGTAAGTCTGACACAGCGATATAAATGTAAGTCTGAATAGTTTGTTATGTTCTGGCTATGTAGCCCTTTCTGACTAAGTCCTCATAATATGACGAATTAGATATTTTATTGAAAAATGTTACCCTCCAGTTAAGATCCTTCTTATTAAATTCTAGGTGGAAGTAAACACATTCATTGTAGAAGTATGACTTTGTTTTCCAACAAAACATCATTTTTTTTTGCGAACTGAAAGAAATAGTTCTTGGATTGTAGTCATGGATGCAGAGCATATTTATGGACAGGTTTTGTGATCATCCATAGATCCCTATATCTAAATGAAATATATCCGAAATATATATTTTTTACATTTCAGTAACAGTGAATGCATCAGCATACGGACCTTTTTTTTTCTTCACTTTTGTAGCACATTTTCAATGTTTTTAAAATTAAATGATTGACAACTACCTTTTCCATATCTTTTCTCTTGTTAGTCTAAAGCTTTTGCCATGTGGAAAGACCATTAAAGGCAGCTTACTCTGGGGGAAGCGAGGTGGGTTGTCATTTACATCTGTCAGTGTGATGTTCACCGTTGTGGTCCCTGATAAGCCTCCCATCTGGCCGCCCATATCTTTGGCCTGGATTACCACTTGGTACTGCTCCCTGTTTTCTCTGTTCATGTTTGGTAAAGCAGTCCTGATGATACCTGGAAGAAAAAAAAAAACTTTTGTTATCCTCATTAAAGTTTCAAATATTAGTTGATTAAGACCACCTATTATACATCTAGGGTTTTTTGAAAGACAGAATATATTTTTGCTATTAATTTTTATTGTCCAGAAATCATGAAAGTGATTCAGTGGAAATATTTTACAATTTGTGCGGATTTTCTGTTACCTAAAGAATACCATATTGACTATATAGTGACCTAAACCCATATGCAAAAAACATAAAGCCAGGTCTCTTTCCGTTAGCTCACTCAGTCATTTCACTTAAATTCTCGTCTTTAAGTGTGATATCATCCCTCTTCTGTAAGCAGTAATGTTAATGTTTGTCTTATTGTTCCCACCTTTTTTCTACTTGAAAATATCATAATGACTTAAAGTAACAACTGATTCACGATTCCTGACCTGTTTCAGGCTCCACAGAGAAATATGGCTGCCCTTGAAGTATGCTGTAAATAACTCTGGCGCTGTTCCCATAGGAAGGATCATCCGCATCTGTAGCTGTGACTTGCACCACGGAAGTACCTGAAGTATCCAAATTCAGCTTAGTTCTGCACAGCACCAGAAGGAGGAGCAAAAGCACTGGTTTTCATGGAAGACTTGAATGATTTTTGGCTTTAATAATGACCTCTTAAAGAAACATTTCTATATAATTGACATGAAAATCATACATATAGTGTTATTACAGGAAAACTCTGAATTCAGTTACATATTTAATTAGCCAACAGGTATATTTTTATGCACCTGTAGATAATGCTACAATGTATCAGACTATAATAAATGCAGTTACTTTATATGATGAAGTTTGATATTAAAATTCATTTTCACATAATAGATTCGTTTCATGTAAAGGGCATATCTGATCACAAAGGAGTAAGTGTGCTCCTCTTTCTTCCTCTCCACTAATTGACTATAAAAATAATTAACATCTGCTCTAGAATACAATTTTATGAATAGATTAAATTCTAAATTTAGAAACAATCCAAGAGGATCCCAAGTTCCATGAACTATTAAAAGCTATTTAATAAAGTTCAAGATATAAAAAAATAGCTTTATCATAAAGCAATTGCCAAAGTCCTCGGGATTTAGTGAAGTAAATATTAAATAATAATCCCAGAACAATGCTTTTGAGAAATGCAGAGTTGAAAATGTGCCATTGTAACTTAAAAGAAAAGAATCAGAATTATTGCATTGGTTTATATGACTTCCCCCATGCTTGAGGAATAAATTTATTCTAAATATCTATTTCCATAAAAATGTTACCTTTGTTTCCTGATGTTTGTTTTTTGTCATTCTCTATTTAATAAAAAAATAAGGCAATCTTAACTTTCTTTGCTTACAAATAACAACTGCTGTTTATTTCCATTGAAAAAGAAAGTTCCATTATCTTGAGTGTTATACTTGTAGCTTTTTCATGCCTTCCATCTTATAGATTCTACAGCCTAAATCTGTATTTGTATATCAGTATGTGATTGTGGATTTCCACTAGTTTGTTTGAGTAAGAGATTTATATTAGCAGGATTATGCTTATAAGAAAAATATGTTTTAAAATAATATGAATTAGATAATTTAATCATTTCCACCTTTTGTATCATTTAGATAAACCAGACAAAGTCTTTAGGCGAATTATAACTAGAGAATGTATATGAAGACTATATTACATCTATACTTACCTAAATGTGCTTACAATATATTTGGGATCAGAATTTTACCTAGCTGTTACACAAATCCATGTGACAAAGATATTATATTTTCATAATTTTCTACTAAATTTTAATGATATTTTCATTGGTTTTTAAAGGAAATATGTACTTATTTGCAAAGACTTACAAATCCATGGCATGTAAAAAATTCTTCTTCTTTTTTTTCTAACTCATTTCCGACATGAGGAAATTAAATAAGTACTGTTAGGAGGGACTCAAAAATGTCAATTAACTGATCATAGCATTTTAAAAATTTCTGGTAATTATTTTGTATACTTTTTACATACCATGATAACTCCTATAAATGAACTTACCTACAACAGACATTTCCGGAACACTCGCTGTATAAATTTCTTCTGGGAACGTTGGCTCATTGTCATTGATATCATGGATTTTGATCACAAACTCAGATTCTGGTTCTACTGGTCTCAAAGTTCTTCTGTTAATAGCTTGTGCACGCAGAGTATAAAAGGCTTTTTCTTCCCTATCAATTCTTCTTGTGGCATGAATGTCACCTGTTTTTTCATCAATAATAAAAAGAGTACCTGCTCCATCTCCAGATAAAATATATTTGAGTGATCCGTCTCCTTTATCTTGGTCTGAATGAAGCTAAGGGAAATAAAAAAGAGCATATCCATGATAATGCCTAAAAGTACATAATGCTGAAAGAATTCAAACAGTCTCTCATGTCCCATCACTGAATAATGGGGTCAGTTATCTTAGTTCTTGAAATGTGACTTGAATAAGTATGAACACACTCACCTGTATATCTTAAACAGCAAGGCTAGCCTTTCACATACCAGTGTGATTTTTACTTTAAATGGGAAAAAGTAATAAAAATAAACCAAACACAGTTCCCCCCTTCACTTTGCTTTGCAAATAACCATTTTCATAGGCAATTAAATCCTGACAAAGCTATGTCATTGGTCTTGATATGCTTCTGTAAACATTTCTTCTCGCATTTCTTTCTTGAGTGGAAAATTCTCTTAGTCTCCTATTATTTAGGAAATTCTTATAAACTTACTATTAATTCTTATAAACTTACTATTACTATTACTATTCTCCATTTCCATTGGAGAATTAGTGATAGCTTAACTGTAAGAAAGGCAAAGGTGTACGAGGTATAGCTCCTATGTTAGAAGCACTATGCATTATTTTTTGGTTCATACAAAGAGAGAGAGAGACTGCCCACAAATACTTTGGAAACTCAGAAAAAGAGTACAAATAGATATTTATGTATTCTAATATTATAAACCAAGTTAATAAATTCTACAATCATATATGTCTTATATAGTCTCCTATCTTGCCAAATGTATCTTCCTAAAAACCTCAAACAAGTTTTGTGCAGGAACAAGACAATGCTAAGCAAGTCTGTTTCTTTGCCTATGCCCACAACATTAATCATCCAGAATCCACTCACGTCAAAGAGCTTTGCAGGCATTCATGTGGGCATCTCAGCCCAGTGCACAACCCATCCCAGTGTAAATGCTACCTAGGATTCCAGGTTTTCGTGGGCAAATTCCATCTATATTGTATTTTAACATATACTCCCTAGGACTGCCCCCAGAGGTTAGGGATGCATATAACAGTTGGTAAGTCTGGTCTTTGGGTGACTGACATGGAAGAGAGAGCTTTCCTGGACCTAGAAGCAAGCCTAGGGATGTTTGGGCAGGAAATAATGGGTCCCAAGTACCTTGAGTATTACCTGGGAATAGATGTGCAGGCTCTAGAGGTGAATATCCCCTGCCCTCCATGGAATTCTTACCCTGCATCCTGGGCTAACATGTAGGAGGGACCAAGCATGGCTTTGTACAACACAAGGATTATAAGTTTTTCTTTAATTGAACCACCCAACCAATAAGCAGTTTCTATGCTGGGCTCACAGTTGGATTATTTGCAATAAGAGATTATGTTTACAATTTTTATTTTGTTTTTATAGCAGATAAGAAATATGAAAACAATGTGCAGATTTTCTAAACTTCTAGAAGGCATTTATTATAATTTAGGAATCATCACAAACATTGTTCTAAGTATTCATATAAAATGTAGTCGTAACTGGGGCGCCTGGGTGGCGCAGTCGGTTAAGCGTCCGACTTCAGCCAGGTCACGATCTTGCGGTCCGGGAGTTCGAGCCCCGCGTCAGGCTCTGGGCTGATGGCTCGGAGCCTGGAGACTGTTTCCGATTCTGTGTCTCCCTCTCTCTCTGCCCCTCCCCCGTTCATGCTCTGTCTCTCTCTGTCCCAAAAATAATAAATAAACGTTGAAAAAAAAATTAAAAAAAAATGTAGTCGTAAGATAGAATAGACACACTGATGTGCAGCCTAAAAATTAAAAACTGGATACAATATCTTTCAATTACACAAAAATTAGAGTTAGATGTTTATCTAAATAATGTTTGATATTTTGCTTGAGATTATTTACATCAACAGACATTTTCATCTAATTTCATGTAGAAATATTAAACTGATTATTTTCTATTTAAAGCAGGCTTATTTATTAATATTATATGAAAGACTTTTTTTTTTTTCTTTTTCGGAGCTTATGTCAATGACTTGGCTGTGACAACATTTTTACATGAACATAAAACTGTTAGGTTAACTATATGTTTTAAAACACACACATACAGATAATATATTGTATTACTGGTATTATTGGGTCTACAAAAGCAGTCTGCTCTTGAGGCACACATGTGCCTGGTCAGTTCAGTGTCCAGCTCTTGATTTCAGCTCAGGTCATAATCTACTGAGGTCGAGCCCCATGTGTGGCCCTACGTTGACAGCATGGAGCCTGCTTGGGATTTTCTCTCTCCCTCTCTCTCTGCCCCTCACCCACTCTCAGGTGCTTGTTCTCTAAATAAATTAAATAAATAAATAAATAAATAAATAAATAAATAAAGGCAGCCTTCCCTTTAGTTAATGTTTTTTTTTTTTTTTAATTTTTCTTTTTTCAACATTTATTTATCTTTGGGACAGAGAGAGACAGAGCATGAACGGGGGAGGGGCAGAGAGAGAGGGAGACACAGAATCAGAAACAGGCTCCAGGCTCCGAGCCATCAGCCCAGAGCCTGATGCGAGCCTGACGCGGGGCTCGAACTCACGGACCGCGAGATCGTGACCTGGCTGAAGTCGGACGCTTAACCGACTGCGCCACCCAGGCGCCCCAAGTTAATGGTTTTTAGTAATTAGCCTTTAGCCATCAAATTTGGATCGAAGTCATTTTTTCTGATTCCTGGACAAATAACTCATTATTATAGATATATCAGGAAAGAAACCCAAATGGATAAGTACTTTAAAGAAAGAGAGAAGCTGGATGACAAATATTTTTTTACTGCACTTTTCAGCTATTCACAAACAATAAGGTAAGGTTGAAAAACTCACAAAATGTCTGCTTTTAATAAAAAGCCCTCACAAGTAACATATGACGGCGTTGTCCAGGGAACCACTCTCAATAAGTTGCAAGATTGATGCTTTTTAGTAATTGAAAACACACATAGCTTCCACGAAACTTTCCAATGACATGAATGTGCAACAGTGGCAATTTTCCACACAGTACACAAGCATTGCATAGTTTTTATTCTGCCTAGGAATCAAAAGAATTCAAGAAAAGATTATGATATTATCAATCATTTGTTCAGATAACTTTGTGATTTGTAGTAAAGAGTTGTGATTTTTACTGCCTATCCATTCAACAATTTTAATTGAGGAATATGTGTTTACTCTCATAGGAATCAAGTACTTCTAAAAGTAAATCAATGATTCCATTCTATTGCTATGGAAAATCCAAATGCTGTGTGTAAGAGAAATTCACAGGCCCACTGCTGTGTGTGAGGATTTCCTACAGCATCTAACACCTAAACTACCAAATAAAGAATGACTAGAGGTATAAACTTCGTTTTTTTTTTTTTTTTTTGCATTTTACAAAGTGTACAGAACACTAGATGAATATAGAATGTAGATTCGGAGTGGGAAAGGATATACAGCAAGATGGGAATCATTAACACCAGTTCTGCCATTCTAATCAGTTAGACATGCAAAAGAAAATGCTAGAATGGGGAATCTCTTAATTATTCTGAAGTTCAGTTTTAGAATATGAATCACAGCAGGATTTTTACCTTAACTAATACTACAGAAAGAGAACATAAATCCTGGAATTGGATCACATACTGTGGGAGTTTCCATTGGATTAGGAAATCTAACATGGTAGAATGAGATCAAAGAGATGAGGGTTAGAAGCTGGACAGTGATTTGGAGAATCAAAATGAAAAGGATTTCTAATTTTCTCATTTTTTTTAATTTTTTTTTTCAATGTTTATTTATTTTTGGGACAGAGAGAGACAGAGCATGAACGGGGGAGGGGCAGAGAGAGAGGGAGACACAGAATCGGAAACAGGCTCCAGGCTCTGAGCCATCAGCCCAGAGCCCGACGCGGGGCTCGAACTCACAGACCGCGAGATCGTGACCTGGCTGAAGTCGGACGCTTAACCGACTGCGCCACCCAGGCGCCCCTCTAATTTTCTCATATTTAACAGAAAAAAATCAGACCTATGCATTTATAAGTTTTGGTCTTAAGAAGCCAGGTTTACAATGCATTTTTTCTTAAACTATTAGAGAGATTGCATTAAAAAAAAGTATCTTTTCTTCAAAAATTTTTAAGTTTATTCATTTTTCAGGGACAGAGTGTGAGCAGGGGAGGGACAAAGAGAGAAACACAGAATCCAAAGCAGGCTCCAGGTTCTGAGCTATCGGCACAGAGCCTGACGCAGGGCTTGAACCCACGAACTGTAAGATCATGACCTGAGCCAAAGTCGGTGCTAAGCCAACTGAGCCATCCAGGCTCTGCAAAGTATCTTCTTTTTTAAGGAATGCTGACATTAGAATAAAGGGCCAAAATGATCATATTTGGGGGCTTAAAATTGGCCTATGTTTACCAAAGTATTATTTAACCAAACATATTTGGCAACTGGACCAGTAAAGAAACTACAACAAATATTTACTATAAGGCAGAGAGATACATTTCTAGACCTCCTGAAACCTGAGTGATTGAAACGCTGGTTTGAAACCCTTGAGAGACAAGAGTTAACTTACAGCAGGTATGCTGTTGTTACTGATTCCTTAGCAGTTACAGAACAAGACCAGTGGACAAAATTCTTTAATTATATCATCCTGTTTAAGTGCCCTCTCTTCTCTTAAATTTCTCCTTTTTATTCTAATTACCTCTTCTTTTGTATATTTTCCCCACCCTTTCCCTGGCATAATGTCTCTGTTTCTTATTTCTTGTGTGGGATAAAATTCTATTTCAGACTACAACTCATTTACTAAATAAAAATCAGACCAGGATTAGTTAGTCCTGACAATGATAGCTTTCTCATTACTCTTCCCTTTTTTATTTGGATGTTAGGTATCAATACTTGGATCAATTAAATATTTAATTGAACAAAATTAGTGTTTTTTGTTACTGAGAATAGGATTACGGATCATGTGCCAAGTAACTTACAGCATCCACTTTGAAATAACTTTTGTATTGATTTGACCTTGTGCTATTTTATTATGTGAAACATTAAGTTTTCTTTAAACATAGAAAGAATGTCAGATTACTGTGGCTTTAGTTCC